GACATGAGACAAAGTATATGTGAACTGCTGTATGAAAAGTGAATTTACTCTGTAAATCTTCACCCAAATCCTAAAAAAAAAATAAAAAATAAAACCCACTGCCAGCGAGTAAAGCAGCATTGGAGGAATGAGAAGGTATTCAGGGCAAGCAAAGTGGAAGAAGGTTAGGATATTGGATAAAGATAAGTTAAAGATGAAGGCAGAGCCAAATTTTATTCTAGAGACAATTGTCCTAGAACAGACTATTGGATTATTTCAAGTGGGAAAGGGAGTTGATAAGATGTGGTTAAGAAAGATGACTTTAGGAACAAAGCACAAAATGGATGCATGGGTGGAAAGTTAGCCTGGTGGTCAAGGAGGCCAATTAAGTGGTCAAGATGGTAAAAAGAAAACAAAGACCTAGATCAACATAAGGACAGTTGAAATGAAGAGGAAACAGTTGATATTAGGATCAGGTAAATGATCAGATACACAGAGCAATAGAGAGAACAGAGACTCAGATAACCTTGGGTTGTCTTGCTTGGAAACTGGGTCTTCCAACATCTTGATATTGAGATTGTGGGCAGTTGGAACAGATTTTTAGAATCATGAGATAAAGTATAATTTTGGCTATATGGTGAGTAACAGCAAACAATAGCAGTTTAAATAAATCATTTTTGTGTAAGATCTGGAAATGTGAGCTGGTAGTTAGGATATTTGAGAGTGTGAGAGGTGACTAGACACTGCTGACTACAGGCAGAGTTAAGAGCAAAGAAGAGGTCAAACCAATCATTTCTCTCCATTACAGAGCATTTCTGACATAAAGAGACAGAGAATTAAGTCTACTCTTTTATTCACTTAACGATATTTGTTGAGTGTTTGCTATATGGTATTACTGTCAGCTGCTGCATTGGCTCCCGATAGAGGACAGCCTCCTGCACAATGGGATTGGACTGTTGTGATCCATAGTTTTCATTGGCTGATTATCAGAAGTCAGTTTGCAGGCCTTTCTGTGTGCCTATGTGAGTCTGGAAGCTCCATTGCAAACAGTTCAACATCACAGCAACAGAGAAGCCTCCGCTGACAGGCAGGTTGGTGGCTGAGCAGGAGGTGTGTTGGCTGGGAATCAGACCCATAGGCAATGGGTACCTGTTGTGAGTGGAACAGTTACTATGTTTGTATCCAAATTTCGCATGCATTATGCAGTGTTTTGCAAACCATGCAACCTCCTTGCACATTAGTTTCCTAGGCTCTCTACACACATGTGTGCATTATTTACATGGGTGTGTTATTTGTGAAAAAATCCTGTATCTGCTCTCATGGAGTTCTTTAGCTGATAGAAATGACACAGAAGAAATGTAATAAATTGACAAATTACCAAAAGGGGAGAAGCATGAAGGAAGCAAACTGGAGGCTCACGTGAATAAGAACCACGGTTTGGGATTGTGCTGAAGTTTCAGGGAAGGGCTTGCTGAGTCTTAAACATAAAAAGATGCTCTCTGTGCAAAATTAGGGCAAAGCATTCCTAATAGAGATTATAACATTTTTCCATGGCCATAATTGTGAGAGACTGACAGAACTATGGGAAGGGTAGTGAGATGAGATGGGAGAGAACACAGATCTGTTGCAAGTGGCTGTTTGTGGAAGAAGATAAGAGAAAATGAGGGAGGAGTGGCCTGCTGGCTCAGCTCAGGGGTGAGGCAAGAGACCAAAGGAAGATCAACAAAGTGCTGCTCACTGTACCTGTCAGGCTGCAAAGGCAGACTCTGCCTCAGTAGTGCCATTCATTGCAGTGAGCAGCTACCTACTCTAATCAATGTAATATGAATATTTGTTGCATAAACTACACCTACTCATCACTTATTAACTATCTCATTACCTGACATTTTGCATTTACAACAATATAAAAATTCTACTACCTGACTATTGGGGGCATTAACAATGTATGGATGGCAGTAACGAACACTGAGTATGAGATGAGAGTAACCCTGGCTATGACGGTTAAGGTTATGTATCAACTTGGCTGAGCCATGACTCTCAGGAGTTCGGTAGTTATGTAATGATATAGTCATCCTCCATATTCTGATGTGATGTGGATAGCCTCATTTTTGCATAATGCCAATTTTCACGTAATGACCTGATCTTTGGAACTTAAGCCATGTCAGTAAATGAGGAGTGGAAATATGTGTATTAGACTCCATTTCTGGCACATCATGAGTCCTTCATCCACGTTTGTTGCAATGAAATGCATCTGTTAATTTAACATTCTCCTCATTGTTATCCATTTCCCTTCTCACATTAACTGTTTTTTCCACTTGATGCATTGTCCCTGTGGTAGTGTATTTTATGTTTAATGAGTCAACACACATATATTTTCTAAAGTAAAACTACATCTCTCTACTTAAAATTTGGCAGCATTACATGAACATCAATTCCAAAGTAAAGACTAAATTGTTGTTAGAATTTATGTTGATCCCTTATGCAAGAAGCTACTTATAGACAACTATTGATAAGACAACACCCCAAGAAGAGTGAACAAGAATTGTTTCTTGTAACTGTAGAAGTTATTTGGCATGGCAAATCTTATTTCTTTATTTTGAGATTTTATTACCATGGGCCAGGTTGATGACTGTGTCTGCTAATTTCTGCCATTCTACTGCAGGATTGTGGTTTGTGGATTCACCCAGAGGAGACCTGTGGGTTACAGCCTATTTCCTCGGACTACATTGAAGCCATTTCACAGCCTGAACTAAAGCTTTGTCCATCTGGGGACACAAAAGGTGAGTATCACAGTGGCTATCCCTTTCCTAGAAAAAAATCCTTTCATATAGATGTTGTTGTTGTTGTTTGCCGTGGAGTCGGACCCGACTCATAGCGACCCCTCCTTGGGTTTCCAAGGCAGTATCACTACGGAAGTAGATTGCCCCATCTTCCTTCCGAGGAGTGGCTGATGGGTTTGAACCACCAGCCTCCTGGTTAGCAGTCAAGTGCCTTAGGCACTATGCTACCAGAGCTCCCTTCATATAGATAGTACATGCTTATTTAAACTACCCTTGTGCAAAAAATCAAGGTAATGCACTATTGTCATCTTAATTACAAATTGCAACACATATAATTCATGTAAATGCATACAAATCATTTCTCCTTCACACAAACGATAGATCAATGGTTTTTCTCCTTGCCCTCCCTGTCTTTGCCCAGTTAATCCATATTCATCCTACAGATCTCAACTGCAAAGCTCCTTCCTTGATTCTCTGACTAGTCTCCTTATATATTTTCAGAGCAGTCTGTACTTTTCTTCCATAACAATTACCACATTTATTTAAACAAGTAACTAGTAATGAGTTGTTACATATCAGTTTTCCCAGTTGTTAAATGCCATAGGGGCAGGAACCAGTATATATTGTTCACGCTGTATCAATTCACTTAACACCATAATTTTTACATAATAGGCACATAGTGAGCAGCTCTGGTGGCATAGTGCCTAAGGCATTTGACTACTAACCAGAAGGCTGGCAGTTCAAACCCACCAGCCACTCTTCAGAAGGAAGGTTGAGCAAGCTACTTCAGTAGAGATACCACCTTGGAAACCCAAGGAGGGTTCACTATGAGTTAGGACTGACTTGACAGCAGTGAGTTTGGTTTTAGTTTTTAGGCACATAGTGGTGTCCCTGGTTGGTACAGTTAGCACACTTAACTGTTAACTGAAAGGTTAGAAGTTTGTCTATGCACAGGAGACTCAGAAGTAATGCCTGGCAATCTACTGCTGAAAAATCAACCATTGGCAAACCAGCAGAGCACAATTCTACCCTGACATACATGGGGTTGCCCTGAGTTGGAATCAGCTCCATGACAGTTGGTTACTGGTAGGTACATAATCAGTATCTGTTGGCCTTGTCATCCAAAAAGCAGCAAAGAATTCAAGTGCAGATTTAAACCTTTTTTTCTCATTTAAAATTCTCATTTGAGAATGATCACTAATGTCCCCTATCTATAGACATTAACACAGGCTGAAAAATTGTCATGTCAAATTCAAATCACAGCGCTCAATCCTACCTGTGACTTAAACAGACCTGGAGTGAAATACTTCGGTGTCACTCTCCTTCCCCATTTCTCTTCTTCCCCCACAATCTTCCTCCAGCAGAACCTAGGGGGACAAGCCAAAACTGGGGTTCAAAATGCCTCCAAAGTGCTTCAAGGAGCCTCGAGCATCTTCTCTGAGCTTCCCAGTTACCAATCTCCTGACCCCAGGTCTTCCTTCACCAAAAAAAGTCTCAGAAAACACTCAGGAGCTTTTCTACCCTCACCGTGAACTTCACACCACAGCCTGACTGGGAAATGAGTTTCACAAATGGGCAGGACAAATTGCAATTTGGCACGCACAGTGAACAAACTGTGCGTATCCCTGTTCTTGAACATGTGTTCTGAATAATAAATGACAGCCAGTGCACAGGGAGGGATTTAGCCATTATGGTGTGTCAGGTGGCGTGATGTGCAAGTCCCTGCTAAATGAGATACATACGCTTACATACAAAGGGGGCACCAGCATGCCCAGGTAGATATTTTTTATCAGATGACAGTTTATGGTAATCATAAACAACTTAATTCTCCTCCTCCTACAGAATTGAAAGTTCTTCAACAAAAAGTTCAAGGTACATTACTGAGATTCCTGGAGAAGCAGCATCTTCTCCTGTCCGTTAAATTCATTCTAACTTCTGTCAGGCTCTGTTACGAAGCTGTCTCATGCCTGGCCCTTACTTGAAAGGCTGCCATAAAACAGGGGCTGTCTAGTATTTGAGTAGCCAGTCGCCTCTCAAGGAAGCTTCCCAAATCAAGTCCAAGCTCCTTGACCTGGCAATTCAAGGCCTCCATAACCTGGCCCAATCCTACCTCTTCCACACCCTTCCCAGCCTTCTCCCTCTCTCTCTCTTTATGGCAAAAATGCTGCTTCAGAACTCAATTCTCTTGTCCGTGCCGCTTCTTCCCTTCTGTGCTTAATTAACTCCCCCAGTGCAGGACCTTCTCTTCCGGGAAGCCTTTCTTCACCACCACCTCCCCTCAGTGAAGCTTCTCTGTGCTTCCCAAGCATCCTGGGCACATCTCTAAAACAGAGGAACAGTTAATCCAGTTGCCATGGAGTTGATTCTGACTCATGGCTATCTCACATGTGTCAGGGAGAGCTGTGGCCCACAGGGTTCTCATGCACTCATTTTTCAGAAGTAGATCACCAAGCCTTTTCTTAGTGGCACCTCTGCATAGACTCAAACTTCCAACCTGCCAGTTAGCAGCCAAGCACATGAACCTTTTGCTCCATCCAGGGACTCCTTCTGCAATAGTACATCCTATGCTATGTTTAGAGCATATATTGACATGTTTCTCTCTTTATTTGATTAGTGGCCTTCACAGTGGAATAATGAACCTGGGAAGGGAGAGAAATGGCACAGAATAGCCCAGAGGGTGAAGCCAATAAACATTAAAATATATGTACATTGATTTCTTATCTAATCACTTTTATTTTTTGTTTTGTAATGAACATAATATAGGAGTGTATGTATATATATTACAGTGTACATGTATCAATGTCAGGGGTGCGTGAGTAATAGATTTTTACAGATGACTGCCCCAGATTATGTTTCTTCTAAGCAGGAACTGTCCCTCACTCAACTTTGTGTCTCCAGTGTCTAATGTATGCTTGAAAAATGATTGCTTATCAAATCCAGACTTTCTAGAGCCATGGAGGCTGGATGAACCCCTGACATGATTGTCCTGAGAAATCTTTAAAACTCTAGTCAGAAATCTCCCCTGAAGTCATCTTAAAACAAAACAGTAGTTTGGCTTCACTGGTAAAGAACGTCTGCCTTGAGTATTATGCTCTTTTAAGAGCTGTCCATATGGGAACAAGCTGACAACAGCAACTCAAAAGATTAGATAGGAAATGTAAGGGGCAGTGAGTTTATACTCATGGGGGATGAACAACTCAGAAAAGCTGTATAACGATGGTCACACAGCTCAAAGAACGTGATCAATGCCACTGAACTGTACATGGAGAAACGTAAATCCGTGTAAGTTTTTTCTGTGTATATCTCAACAAAAATAAATGAAATTATTTAAAAAAAAAAAAAAAGGTGCTGAACCAAATTCCAAGCCCTCTTTCCTTCACAGAGGACTGTCAGTCGCCAGGGCACAATCAACCAAAGCCAGCTACCCTGTCTTTTACCCAAAGGCCCACAGTCAATGAATGAGGCCAGGGACAACATTTTGCCAAACTATTTTTTTGTACCACCAGAGATGATTTTCTTGATGGCAGGACCCTCCTCTGAAAGAGGAAGTAGTCATGGTGAGCAACATTGGAAGGGAGTTTATTTGGAAGCTCTAGGGTTAGCTTATAAGGCCAAGAACACAACCTAGTCCAGATATCGTATTTAACAGCATGCCTCCCAAAATTATTTGGCAGAACTGGATCCTTTGTTTCACTTGCCAATATAACAATGGTCAAAATGTCATTGTCAATAATGCCAACTTTTAAAGGACTGTATTTATATTCTTATATTGGTTTCTTGCCTTTAGTAAATAATTAACTATAAGACATAACTATGAATTTTAAGAAAGTAAAGTAATTCTTCTAATTTAGATGAAGAAAGAAAAAATGTATATAGTAATGATTATATGAGTATTAACTTTAAGAAAAATGGTTAAGATTGCATTTGATGATATGTAAACAATGAAGATTTTATCATGCCTCGGAAGGAACATTGGGCAATCTACTTCTGTAGTGATGCTGCCTCAGAAACCCAAGGATGGGTCGCTATGAGTCGGATCCAACTTGTCGGCAGTGAGTTTGGTTTTTTTTTGTTCTGTTTAACAAGGAATCTCTGGTGGCATAGTGCCTAACGCATTTGACTGCTAACCAGAGGCTGGCAGTTCAACCCCCCCAGCCACTCCTCAGAAGGAAAACTGGGCTTACACAGAGATACTGCCTTGGAAACCCAAGGAGGGGTCGTTCTGAGTCAGAATTGACTGAACAGCAGTGAGTTTGGTTTGTTATTTTTTTTTTTTAGCAAGCAAAAATGCCAATTTATACTTTAATATTTAGAATATTAAACAGAGAGACACATAATACATTGTTTTCTTCTTAAATAAAAACTACTTTATTTTATAGCATTATTGAACCAAGCATTAATTAATTGCAACATGGCCCTTAGTCACAAATTTGAACTTTTCCCCTCATTGTATCATGCAATCTGATTCATTTAAATGACTGAAATCTAACGTGCATTAAATATAGATCTATAATTGTAAATCAAATAACTTCTCCCAAAAGCAGTTTCATTCCTCAAAGTGTTATTCCCTAAAACATATGCCATGTTTTATTTCAGAAATCACAGATTTGATTTGTTCAGTGTTTAAATATATAACAGAGAATTTATGTTCCTCTTTTTTGACAATTTTCGTTAATACCTGGTATCGTTTAAAATGTCAAGAAACTCCAACCCTGCAGATGTTACACAGATGCCTATTTCAAGCAGCACTACTGACTTACAATAAGTAAAAGGCATTGTCAACCAACACAAAGAGTTATGACTGTGCAAAATATATAACAGTATGAACCACTGGGGCTGTTTTCAGACACCCACCCAGGTCCCCTTTTTATATGCATGCAATTTTATGCCCAAAAGCTGAAGGCACCCATATTTGATCACTGTGCTTGACATTGGCCCCTTGTTTCTTTAGCTTGAACAGCAAGCAGCCATAGAGGGATTCACAACTCTGGGAGGAAGACCTTATTATACCTATTTTATACATAAGAAAATTATAGCTCAGAGAGATTAATATGTCCATGAGAACACGTATACACTTTAAGTATCAAAAACTGTTCTAAACAGTGAAATTGTACAGTGAGTCAGACACATTCCCTGCCATCATGGGGCTTACAGTCTGGTGGAACTAAAATGGATAGAAAGTTGTGTGCACCATCGAGTCAACTCTGACTCGTAGGAGCCATATATGATAGAGTAGAACTGCCCCATAGGGTTTCCTAGGCTATAATCTTTATGAAAGTCAACTGCCACACCTTTCTCTCACACAGAAGCTGACGGGTTTGAACCACCAACCTTTCAGTTAGCAGCAGAATTCCTAACCATTGTACCACTGGGGCTCCTTAAAATGAATAACGTAATGAGTGTAACTAATTTCACTGACTTGTGTATGTAAGAACTATTGTAACTGCAAATGTTTTGTTATATAAATACTTGTTGATAGTTTTTGTAAAGTCCATTTCAATTTATGGCAACCCCATGTGTGCAAAATGGAACTGTGCTCCATAGGGTTTTGAAGGCTGTGACTTTTTTTTTCTTTTTTTTTTTTTTTTTACTTTTTTTGTGGTGAAAACATATACAACAAGACATTCGCCAACATAACAGCTTCCACATGTACAGCTCAAGGATGTTGATGACATTTTTCATGTTGTGCCACCATTATTGCTATCCTTTTTCAAAATATTCCACCCCTGTTAGCATAAACGCAATGCCTCGCAAACAAAAGTTTCCCCTTTCCCCCTCCCTCCTATCCCTGGTAACCACTAATAATCTTTGGTATATATATTATATAATATCAAACCCACCAGCCACTCCTCGGAAGGAAGGTTGGGCAATCCTACTTCCGTAGTGATACTGCCTCGGAAACCCAAGGAGGGGTCACTATGAGTCA